GCTGTAAATATTGGGTCTCCATATAAAACCGTATATAATGAGTGTTTATAGCACCACCTAGCATCTTCCTAATAGAACTGTCTCAACGAGAGTGTATTTTCACATACTATTAACAGTTAAAGCGCGATCTATTTGTTTTCTGTAATCATAAGTTCTCTTGTTTTGTAAACAAGAAATTCAAGTCTGCTCGAAAAGCTCGGAATTTCTAATGCTAGCATATATAACAAACACAAAAGTTTATGCATTAAATAGCAGGCTGTTTTCCAGTCACATCTCTAACGTATAAATTAAAGGGTGGCGTGGTTATCGAACTGTCAATTAAAGAATCCACTGTTCACTTCCCATTGCCGCAAAAATCGCATTCTGCACTTTGGAGCCGTTGGTGCGTTATAAAAGTGACGGTAAAATCCCACGTTTCTACTAGAGGAGTATATGAGTTGGCGTGGGAGCTGTTGGCTAGTTGAGTACCCTATAATCTGTTAGTTCAAAATTAGCGATAGCTAGAACAGATAGCCTTTTTGTAGCTTTGTGTGACTATCTGAAACAAACAAATAATTCGATAAATACGTACAATTTACGTGTTTAACTTTTGAGTCTTATACATTCTGATCTGCGAAATGTGTATGAAGACCTCAATAATTGTCAGTTTTGTAAATTTTCTATAAAGCTAATTAAGTTCCGCCTTATTATTTGAAAGATATTTTAATAACTTTTAAACAACTCATTAGCATTAACTATGAATGAAAATATCTAATTTTCTAGATGATAATGTGATTTCAAACAAAATATATATATATATACTATTTTAGGGCGATTTCAGCTTCTGAGTTCGACAAGTTATCTCTGCAAGGATCTCCAGCTCCTAGCAGTAGGTGGCGGAATCCACAGAAAGTCTCCGACCACCCTGGTGCTCCACCCAATATACTTCTTCGAGCTCCTCCTAGACAAAAATCTCTAAATAGGAAAAGTTTGTCCTTGGATCAAACTTTAAGTTCCTGGGATTCTCGAAAAATATGGCAGTCTGGGGAAGAGAGTAATGTTACTACACCCTCTGGTAGTCAGCTGAGTCTGAGGCTATCCCAAAGCCGAAGTATCGACTATGAAACCGATTCTTCTCTTGGAGAGACCAGCATAGATTCAAAGAGTCTGACCCTACCTCGACTTTCTCTAAACAAACAACCTTCAGTTTCCTCCTCCAGAGAAGGAAGTACTACTGGCAGCGTCGAGCCATCGCCGGGTATTAAGCCAAAAAAAGGACTAAAGGAAAAGTTGAAGAAACTCACTAGGTCCAAGAGTATCGAACACACTAACACGACCGAGTCCGTGGCCCATGCTGAACTCGGCTCCGAGGTTCAACCTGAAAAACAAGAAAAGGAGAAGAGTCTGCGGTCGAGAATATCCAAAGTGCTGAAGAAACCACTCAGCAGGTCCAGTAGTATTGACCGCTCACAATCAGATCGTGAGACATCCAAGGATCTTGTCCCGGAACGGGTTCAGAAGCTAGAAAGCGAAAGCACCCACAAGGTGGGTAACGTTTACATTACAACTATATCTAAAGTTTTTCCTTACAACAAAAAATCTGTTTCCATGTTCTGGATTGATATGCAACATTTCCTGCAGTTCATTACATTTTGTTACGTCAACAGTTTTAGTGAATAACTTTGATACTGATATTTTCCGTGATAATTTACACATGTAATTACTCAGGTTAATTCAACGATTTTTATTAAACTAATGAAATTTGTTTTTATATTTAGAAAAGTACACAAACTTTATCAGCCAGAGGCAGTTCAGCAAGTAGGTTTTCAGAAAAAAATATGCGTTCTAAGTCAATTGATAACGCACCACCTATAGAAGTAGATTCAGACAAGAAGCAGATTCCAACTCCACAAACTCGTAGCCGTTTGTCTAAACAGTCTTCCTTGTCGGACGCAGAGGACCGAAGCAGACTCTCGAAGCAGCCATCATTTTCAGAAACAGCTGTGTAGACGGAGTGTCACCGATTTGGTCATCCAGAGTCATAGATTCGGACATCTAAAGATCCTGGTTTGGACATACAAGAAATCCAAAGGAAGTATTCGGAGAGAAAACAGCCCACAACAGGTGAATCCGTGGGCAGTTATATCAGATTTTGTTCAAAATTTCTGCCAACAGAATTGTCAAACAAACTTTATTGTACAATCTGTTTGGGTTACCGACAGAATTGTTAAACAAACTTTATTGTACAATCTGTTTGGGTTGCCTAAACAAACTATATTTTACGATCTGTTTGGGTTGCCGACTGAATTATTAAACAACCATTGTTTTACGAACTGATTGGGCTCCCTACAGAATATACAAACTTTATAGTGCGATCTGTTTAGGTTCCTGACAGAGTTGTAAAATAAACTTTGTAGTACGAACTGTTTGGGCTGCCTATAGAATTGTTAAATATACCTTGCTGTTCGAACTGTTTGGGTTGCCTACAGAATATACAAACTTTGTAGTACGATCTGTTTGGGTTTCCACCAATCTTGAATAATGATAATTAGTTTTGTTCCAAGAACTGTATGTTAAAACCAAATATAATCCATCAAATTTATTTATCTTCTTTATAAATTTAATCTCCATATTTCAGACTTAAAGCAACTAACATAGCAACCAACTTCTGTATATGATCCAGTTGTACCTTAAACTAGAAGAACATCCTATTTAATAAAACGTTCTCGATTCATCACGTATTCAAAACGATCTTTATTTCTAGCCTTTCCATCCTCTATTCCAAAACTTATGTACTTGTACTTATGTGTTAGTAAGTCTTTAATGTTTGCTATAAAATTGGCAGCACTTATATATTTTTAATTTTACTCTTTTAAAGCTGAAACCTTTTATCTGATACATTTATGTTGGCCAATCCTTACTTTTATTATAAAATTGCGAGACTTTTATGTGTTGGCCAATCCTTACTTTTATTATAAAAATCAGTAGTCTTTTACCTGCGTGCTGTCAATATTTGGTGTCATACGTAAAGTTTTTTGTTTTTTTTCCTGTGAAGGAAAACTAATAATGGCATTTACCAAATATCGGTATTAGAATTAGTATTCAATTCATGGAAATATATGGAACAAATATTTTTTGACTCCAAGTTCAGGCGAATGAGGTCAAAACATTTGCATGTTTTACAGATAGGGTACTGCTCTATACAATCCGATTTTTGCAAATATAACGATTAAAAAATGTAAGTTCAACATTTTATATTACTCTTCCTATAAGAAATATTCATTACATTATTTATCTTTTTTAAGTATTATGTTTAAAAAATATAATAAAGCCAAAAAGATAAAAAAAAACGCAGAATTTCCTCAACATTTAACATGATGCAAAATCCACAGTTATGAATTCTCGAACAGGGTTTTAACATAAACGCATCTTCATATTGTGCTCATGAGAAATCAAAATATGTAAAGTATACAAATTGAGGGGGTGTTGAAGTATGGGGGTCAAAAGTAAAGAATCCTACGTGAGAACAAAAGGATGTAGTATGAGGGATGATCTAAGAAATGTTTTTGTTTTATTCTTATCTTGTTGTGTAAGAAAAATACGTCTCGAATCACCATAAATATGGTGCACTACTATATGCAGCCAAATATACTTACGATTTGCCCTTGCCAAGATTACAACCAAGGAATGGAATTCCCCAAAGCCAGTGGCAAGTGGTAAATTGAATGATAGAATAGGGGTCACATTTTTTAATATTGATATTAACTCCAGATCAAAGAAAGTTACCTATTTAAGGAGGAACTACAAATCAGCTTGGTAATGAGTATACGTTCTTAGTTATAAAGATTATAATGTGTTGTTTCATCAATTGGTTACATTTTCGGTCGTAGTCCCAATGGCTTTTCACGAGATTCGACTTGCTTAGAAGATTTAAGTTATTTTAAATACACATATATATTAAGTTAACATTGCGAAACAAACTCCATAATAAAAGTATAGTAATGAAATTAACCAGTAATAAAATTTAGATACATTAAACATTCTAACCAATACTGTTAATGAAAGTAATAATAAAGAAATAATAGAGTATTTGTTACTTTCTATAAACAGTAGCGCCTTCTGTGGACGAAATGTAAACGTCCGCCATTTTTTTCACTTGACCCCATTGACCTAAATTAGTGTCAAAAAATTTATTTTTTAATTTTTTTTCAATAAGATACTACCGAATGATATCTCTGATACTGACTAATATTATCAGTTCTCGTTTGTAGGCCTTAAATCAGGTACCGTGAGTCTTCAGGTTAATATTTCCTTATAAACATTTGCGAGGTGTTTATATACAGTGCAATACTCGCCTTTATATTATATACAATTGACAATATTACATCTTTACCACGCATGTTCAGGTTAATATTTCCTTACCGGGTGTCCATATGCACCGACTTATTGACATTTAATATTGAAAATGTACAACATTTAACTAATCCCCATTTGCAGGGCAATATACCTGACCCCCATGTATAGGGTAGTAAGGTACGTGAGCCCCATTTGCAGGGCAATATACCTGATCTACGTGTGCATGGTAATATATATAATATCCATGCGCATGGCAGCATATCTGATCCCATTCTACAGACTAATATACCTCATCCACATGTGCAAAACAATACATCTGGTATGTACGTGCAGGGCAATATGTGCTTTTATAAAAGAAACCATCTTTTACCCGATATCAAAGAAAACGTAATATATTTCTTATTATCGCTAGTAACAACTCACCTTGCACGTGTCGAGCACTAGATTCACTTTTAGTGTTAGGTGTTGAAAATTCACGTGAATTTATTTTTGTTTGTTAAGTGATCTTATCCTGTTGTTTTGTTTCCAACAAATATCGTGTTTGTTGTTTTTTAAACTCCATGTGTAGAAGTGTAAAATATATTAGCTGTTTTTCCCCCTAAATAAAGTTTATTTGCAGCTAATAGTGTTTAAAGCCCACAAATATATAATCAAATATGTATAAAATAATAAATAAAACTTTTATTGGAATTACAATAAAAACCCATTATGGGACATGTAAGTTTCATTATTTATTGAGATTATGGATCCATGACATATGTTATAAGATTTTTTACTCGGACGACTTCAGTTCTTTCACAGTTTTAGGTAAATATCATTACTACTTTTCATTTACAATACCATTATCATAATTTTCAGTAAAGTCAACAACTACTCACTAACGTCACACCAGTGATTTAAAACATCTCTGTATTTAAGTACCTTTGTTGCCTTAGTAAAGCTAATCAATCTACTCACTAACATCTCTGTATTTAAGTACCTTTGTTGCCATGGTAAATCTAATCAATCTACTCACTAACATCATAACAATGATTTAAAACATCTCTGTATTTAAGTACCTTTGTTGCCTTGGTAAAGCTAATCAATCTACTCACTAACATCTCTGTATTTAAGTACCTTTGTTGCCATGGTAAATCTAATCAATCTACTCACTAACATCATTACAATGATTTAAAACATCTCTGTATTCAAGGTGTTCTTTTGATCTACAAAATGAATACCGGATACCAAAAAAAAAACGCTATTATGCACACCATAAAAAGATGAAAAAATATGAACTAAGCAATAGAGGACGAAGCTACACAATATACTATTTGTATTGTGCCCACCAGAACTATTGAAATGCAGTTTTAGTGTTCTAAGCTTATAGGCTTACCTCTGAGCCAATGGGGGTTTCACACCAGAGAGAAAGGAAATTAAAATAAAAATCCTCACCTTAAAATTGAGAAAAAACAAAAACAAACACTATTATGTGCACCATAAAAAACGGTAGGAAACAATCGAGTGATTTCAGACAAAGGAAAGTAAATTAAACATTAAACCTCCACCTGATTAATACTGGATACATAAATCAAACCAAACATAAGGGGAGAAAAAGAATATTAATATACTTCACACCAACGAGACGAAATTAATAATGAAATCAATAATAAAATTAACATTGAAAATAATAATAGACTTAATAATGAAATTAATGATAAAATTAATATTGAAAATAATGATAAAATTAATAATGAAATTAATAATAAAATTAATATTGAAAATAATGATAAAATTAATATTGAAATTAATAATAAAATTAATATTGAAAATAATGATAAAATTAATATTGAAATTAATAATAAAATTAATATTGAAAATAATGAAAAATTAATAAAATTAATAATGAAAATAATAATAAAATTAATATTGAAAATAATAATAAAATGAATAATAAAATTGATAATGAAACCTCCAACTTGTTGGTGTGAAGTATCACATGTCTTCTATAACAAAACAGTGAACGATCTAATTAAAGAAACAACAAACTTGACAGACGTGTATCATATGTAAAACAATACGATCTAATTACAGAAATATCAAACTTGACAAACGTGTATCATATACAAAGCAATACGATCTAATCATAGAAATAACAAGCTTGACTGACGTGTATCACATATATAACACTACGATCTAATTACAGAAGTAACAAGCTTGATTGACATGTATCACATATATAACAATGTGATCTAACTCCCGAAATAACAAGCTTGACTGACGTTTAACACATATATAACAATACGATCTAACTACCGAAATAACAAGCTTGACTGACGTGTATCATATACATAACAATATAATCTAATTACAGAAATAACAAAGTTGAATGTCTTGTATCTCGTATCTAACGATAATTACAGAAATAACAAGCTTGACTGAAGTGTAACCATGTTTAACAATACGATCTAATTACAAAAATAACGAACTTCACTGACGTGTAACACATATATAATAATACGATATAACTTCAGAAGTAAGAAGCTTGACTGACGTGTATCACATATATAATAATACGATATAACTTCAGAAGTAAGAAGCTTGACTGACGTGTATCACATATATTCCTTTAAAACACCCTGTACAATCTACTTATCTAAACAAGTAATGAAAAAAATTTCAAAAATTAAGCATGATGTAGAAATGGCAATGCAAAAACTATGGAATCAAGGTAGGAATGTATACACAAAACCATACAAAAATCTCTACATAAGTTTCCAGTAGTTAATGAGTCGATTTTATAAGCTTATGGT